GCTTTTGTCTGAGTTCGCCAGGCGAAACTCACCACTTCCGGGTCTCCCACCCTATCATCATCGTCATCATCGCCATCCTCTCGCTTTGGATTCCCACAAATGCAATGCGACAGAGAAAGGAAATATGCTCGCGTTCGGTTATCAGTGGAGCTGCTATCACTCCCCCACGTATTGTCTGTTATTCACGTCAATCAATTTCCTGCAATTGCGTACGCACGGCTTTATGACCTGAGGCGTGATATTTCATGAAAGTTCTTTCGCAGCAATGTAGGTTATGTCAAGGTATGTCACTTCGCTTAGGGTTTGAACATCGCGTCTATGTCCCGTTTCGCAAGGACCACTCTGATCATTGTTGGTCAGGTCAACTCAAAGAATAGGAATGATCAGCGTGAAGGCGGATCGGAAACCTGGCAACTTCAGCCTTTTTGTTGAATCCCGTGTCGCAGGAGTCGCATGACAAATTGGCGAATTGGGCTACGTTTGCGCAACCACGCCGTAAAATCCCGCAGTTTCACCTTCCTGGATTTCAGGGTTTCATGCGTCGAGAAACGAAAAGAGGGCATGCACGTGCAGCATGGTGCCAGCCTTCAAGCGCACGCAAGCCCTATCTCCGTAGTCCAGCATGACATTGAATTACCTGGTACCAGGCAATGAAGAATGACCAATGATCATAATTGTACTCTACTTCGATGCTGGGGTGTTTATCATACGAATGCAATTTTATTCATTCGTGTTTGTCTCTTACGGCAAGGCTGCAAAACTGCATGCACGATGTATACATACACCAGTACGTATGATGAGGAGCAGACGAGAAGGGGAGGATGAAAAAGGGTGGTGATTTTCCATAGAAGTTGCGTGATGGGTGAGTGACGTCACGCGGTTGTACGCACGCGCGCTGGCTCCCACCACTCCAGCGGATCCGCTTTTGATCGTCGTCCGTTCCCGCAGTTGTTCGGTAGTCACGGTGAGGGTGCGGGTTTCGCGTGTTTCCTGGTCGTGTCGAAGGCCGGATTCATCGATCGTCAAGTCATCGATCCCACTGTGCCCAGCGAAGAATGACCCACCCCCCTGTGATGTGCATGTCTCGGACTTAGCCTCTTCCAAGAGAAATTCTTGACGAGTGCTCTGTTAAGCGGAAGACCTTGGCCTGTCGGATTGGTGTCGAGACTGAAAATTCATCAAGATTCCCCGACATCGTTTTAACACGGTGTACCCCGTTTGATCGATGGTTTTGCCAGAATTTGGCACGAGAGATCGCCCAGAGGATTGAACAGTACACTTTCTCTTTCTCTCCCTTCCTTGCTTTTTTCTTTTTCAACGCCGCAGCTCGTGAAGCGAAACTAACGACATTGGCATCACATTGCATGCCATCCATGAACGTCATGGGATGGACAGAAAAGAGGAAGAAGTTCTTTGGCCCAATGCCCACTCATCCTTCCCCTGCGGACCCCCATTCTCCGGTGTGTGATGTGATACGGGTTCATTCTGACAGCGGAAGAGCAGGTGTTAGCAGATGATGTGCACCCAAGTTCCTCCCTCCCTCAGACCCTCTCCCCTGTTTTCATGGTTCTCCCTCACAAAAAAACCTGGTCTACCCGCATTTCCGGTACTTTTCTATGCTCTGGCTCTCTCGAGCAATTAAATCTTTATTAATAGGATGCGGAGGACGAAAAAAGCGAGTCCGACTCTCCCGAAGCAAGCACCGTTACGCAGTGGCGAGGACACATTAACCCAGTTAGTCGTGAGAACTCTCATCGAGGCTGTATGTCATGGATGACCTCTGACCTCAGTTTCAGGAAGAAGGGAGAGAGAAGCTGCTGCTATTGAACGTGCTCGTTACCCGAGTGAGGAAGGAACACATGATCTTGCCCTTCCCTGACCATCATTCTTTAAGACTTGACCCGCCGCTCTTTGAAACGGACGCCAATTGTCCAGTCATGACTATGTGATATTCTGATCTGGAGCTAGGGTCAAGAATCTAATTCCACATGGTCTATCGACTGTCATGACCTCGTTCCCTTGCTTCCAGACGGCCGTACATCACAGGAAAAGCCTTTCTTTCATCTCCTGCCTCTTTTATCCTCGCCCTTTTGGGGGCATTGTATGGCATGGATTTGTTATTGCATCCGGAGCTCTCCCAAACCTACGCGGAACAGGAACTCGATTGATGTAGATGTTCCTTTGTGCTTGATCTCGGAAATGCCATTCGCTATGATTTTTCTTGATCCGAGGAGCGTGTAGAGGGAAGAAGAGGAGGGGGCGGTGGCAAGTTTTGAACTAAAAGAATGAGAAGTTGGGGGGAGTGGAGGGAGTGGAAGGAAAAAACGCGTGAATGGTGGAATGGCATTGTCCTCTAGCCAGTAAGGTTTAAAACCATGGATCCGTACGTGTGGAGACCGAGACATGACGAATTTCTTCCTCTTCACTCCTGGGATTTCCCGTGGGTATGGGAAATAGTGAAGAAAATCTCTCTGAGACTAAGAGAGACTTCCCTTTAGGCGCCAATAAACACCCTCTTCCGCAATTCCCGAATCCAGTCGCCGTTCCACGCGGAAATGAACCACATGGTCTTCCTCCGTCCCTTCCATCTCAATTATGAATTAAAGAGCGAGAGGGGCGATTGGTTTTTGCACGCCTCTGTCAGCCTTGGGGTGCAATTCATGTACGTCCTAATGAGAGAGAAAGATGAAGGGACAAGTAGATAGGAGGAGGGTGAAAGTTCCCCACCGAGACCAAGATCTTTCTCTTTATGTGGTCTCTTCCCCATCGCGCGGTATAGGCCTACTGACTCCATACACAATATGGTCAGTGAATTCCTGTTGCGGGCTCTTTTTTCCCTCATCCACTCGATGAAGAAAATTGGCCAGTTCCGTTCTCATCTAACATCCTCTACCCGGAGGCGACGTGACCGCCTATAAAATTACTCCCGGCTTTCTCCATTGACAGGGTCTGGATTTAATCGTCGGGATATGAGAATGCGTGTGGGGACCGGTCACCACGAGACGATCTGACCCAGATGGGCATGAAGGTGTTGCTCCATCGCGACATGGTGAAATGCGTTTCGAGAAAAGTTTTTTTTTTCTTTACCCCCGCGCTATGCGACCACAGATGCGTTTAGTACTCTTTTAAAGTTCGGGTCTCGCAGGTTGTATTGTGTTGCGTGGCCCATGTGGGAAGTGCTGACAGATGTTGAACGGGGCAGGGAGTGAGCTGGCACCATGTGGGGAGTGGATACCCTGCTCCTGTACGGTGGACCGTTAGCCCTTCCCATTCGCCCATAAGCCTCAGTCTGAATCATTGAGGCGCGAAGAAAAAAAATCCCCAAGCCATTCACTTTATATCGCAATCCGCCTTTATTGTCCCGTTTTGTTGTTTCTGTGTGCACGCCTGCGCGCTGTGGCTTTTCTTGCGAAAGTCTTGGAGTAATTCCTGGAACTAGTCTCCCATGACTGGACCTCCCCCTTGTGTTCCAAGTGGCTAGCCAGATAGAGAGTAGGCCTAGGTCCTCTACCTGTGCATGTACTCTATGGCTCTCTCTATCACGGGAGAGGGAGATGGAAAAAAAAAAACGAAATGGAGGATCAGGGCCGAGAAACCACTAAGCCCATCGCTTCCGGGTTTCTTGTTAAGCCTGTGGACTCGAGTACCATACCGTATCCGTCGCACTCCTTTTCTCCTCCATTCACAACCTCTGACTAATTGGGAAGAGGGGATGGTGGGTCGTCTTGCGTTTGACAGTTGCCGAGTGTCCGCTGGTGGCAGTGTTCTGGTTCATGGACTCATACCTTCCTCTCTCTCCGTATCCGTTCCCTTGGATCAATTTTCTTGTTTATTAATTGCTGCGAAGTCGTTCCTCAGTCTCTAACGATAGCTCATTGCTATCCTCAAAGACAGCTTCCAACCCTCGTTTAATTGACAATTCACTAACTTGATCAGGAAGTTGGATCATTCCCGTCTTGCCCCTGATTCATTCATCAGACTGGTTTGTGTGCTGAAGACCCGGAGCCCGTTCCAAACTCATGCCCAATCTAAGTTTCTGCTTAAATCTGAACAAGAGGCAGTGTGAAAAGCAACGGAAGTCTGTTTCTCTCCCGTGCTAATAGTTGGATATAATTTTAAACAGGATCAAAGTGGAAAAGTCTGCTCCTTACCCAAATACGTTAGACCTGTGCTAAAACTTGATCTAAAATGGGGAATATGCTTAGACTGCTCTGTCTCCGTTTAATTGATGTGTAAATGTTGATATAAAGAAACAAAATTGTCAGTATCAAACATTTGCTAGAATATGTGACTGGGATCCGGGAACTCAAATGTGAAAATAAGATAGTCGCAAGACAAAACCAATCAGCAGGTGATTTGCGTGTGCAGCTCCAGTGTCATCGAGTTTCCAATCGCATATCCTAGCAAGTACTGTTTGGTACTACTTGAGTTCTTCTCCTTCATCGCAACATTTTAGATCAGTGCAGTTAATTTTAACTTAGGCGGAAAATTATATTTTCCTTTCAGGCAGCTCTTAGGTTAAGGTTCAGGGTTCGGGCTGGGACGTCAAGAGGCATTTTCGCCCAATACGACGTCTCGTGTCAAGATGGAGCAGAAGGTTAGGATTGGATTAGATTTAGCACGGCAAGGAATAGGTTCCAGGAAGTTTCCATCGCAAATCGATTAACTGGATAGGATGATGATGTTGCTTCTATGTGGTGGGAAGCAAGGCATGTATGATGCAATTTATTGGATAGAAAGTTCATGTAGGTGATTTCAGGACATCCAATTCCTCCAGCCTACTTGATGCATTGGACAAGAGGAAGAATTTCTCCGAAAGCCATTAGCTGTAATTATAGTGTGCACAGAAAGAGCCCCATGGCTCTTTATTTTCAACTATCAACACATCTGCGTGCCAAGTGTAACGGAGCGCTTAGGCTAACCTTTTCTGTGTCTGAGTCATTCTGAAATCTCAAAGTCATCCTCCGGCACCCTTTGTTTGCAAGAGTTGATCCTTGTTCTTTCTCTTTCCTTTCAACAGATGAGAATATTGCTGGGCAATGGGGCAGATGACATGTGCTGTGATGCTGACCGCATAACGATTTTCTATGATCTGACTCAGGTGTGTGTGAGTGTGAGAATTCCAGGAGATGGAGGGAGGGGAAGGAGAAGGAGCTGGTCTACCTTTTGGCCCTTTTCGCTCCCTCATTCACGAACAAGCCAAAAGTATTGTTGCTATACAGGTGAGTCTGTATACAAAGTATTTTCATGTGTCTTTGTAGAGTTCAACTGAGCATTTTATATTGAGCTGAGTAACTGCCATTTATTTAGTCAGTGTGCTTTTATCAAACTTGAACAGTTGGAAAATTTTCTATATCTGGAAGGTCTACATTGGCAAGGTAAGTGCTTAGACTTATCCAGGCAAATCCTTGCATAAACAAAGGTTCTTTTCCTTTAGTGATTCTATTATTTCAAATGATCTCTATGGCTACTGGTTTCTCATTTTTGTTCATCCAGGAACTGAAGAGAGACGTGGAGCTACTGCTGGAGTTCCGAGAACAAGTTCTCTCTTCCTTTCCTCACCTCATGCACTCAGTTCCTCTCATGACCCCATCAGCCTCAAGTGCAACCAAGTTTACTGGTGTCACCCATGATGTTAGCCATCATCATCCTGGGGCGCATTCTGCTCAACACCTTCGACCTCCTGGCTCTGGCCGCAAACTTCCCCAACCTCATGGTGCATCTTCAGATCCTCTTCTCTTTGCTCAACCTGAATCTGATACTTCAGATGAAATGGAAAGCCAGGGGCCTGGAGGTCGAGGGACTTGGAAACGCCCATCTTCTACTCGATATTTACCCCGAACCAGACGAAAGAAACAAAGTGTTGATGTGACTTCCACTACCTCTCGCACAGCCCTTCTCGCTCCTATGGCACATGTTGTTGACTCGGGGTTCAGTACAGAAACTAAAGATGTGGGCTCAGGGAGTGAACGGAATCATGTTTACAGTGATCGGACATCTTCATCATCAGCTTATAACTACAGTGACCGGTCATCAGAACGCAATCTTGTTTATAGTGACATGGTGCCTGATATTCGATGGCCTGGCCGGATGGTTGGCCCAATGTCATTTTGTGATGATGAACTCTGGAATCTCTTAGATGTGATTCATAGGAAAGGGGTTCGATTACGCGAGGAAATTCGAGCAGAGGATGTGCGGGTTCCTATTCCTGCTCCAGAATCAGCTTTATCTGATACTGTCCAGTCCAATGTTCGTCGCCTCTCCACCATTGCAGAGACAGTCAGAAGTTCTCAGTCTCTGGGAGATACAAGATCAAAAGGACTTGGTGAACGGGATTCCATAAGTTTATCACGAGTCTTTCAGACTCAGGTGAGAGTGAAGGATCCAGAGGAATCTCGGATTCAGGAACTTGAAGCTCTGGTTCAGACTTTGAATGAGAAGAACAAACATTTGGAGGAAGAGCTTTATGCTGCCACAGCCTGGAAGACAGAGGTGGACTCCCGCATTCACAATTTGCATGCTCAGTTTGCTCGAGGGAAGAGGGAACCATATCAAGATCATGACTCCAATCTGGAGAACCAGAAGCGTCATGATATAAGCCCATTTACTCCAGAGCAGGCAGAATCCAGAGAAAGGGGGTGGATCAACATCCGCTCTAAATCTGAAGTCAACATTCGCCAAAGACGATCTCAGACATCAAATGTCTTTGCAACAAGCCTTCCCACAGGAAGTAAGACAGAAAGGAAGATAGTTGCAATTCCAAATAAGAAGATCTCCTCTGTCCTCTGGGAATCGGACATTCTGACCCTACGAAAGCAGCTGCTACATTACATCCATGCTTATGAGGTGATGTGTGGTGGTTTTAACTTGGAAAGATAATGTTCACACTTATTTTCAAGGAAGAGGTGGCATGTCCATGTTTGTCTCTTGTTCATTGCAGATGACAAAGGCCAAATTGGATGAGAAAGCTGAGGAATGGAGTTTACGAGCACGTGACTGGGATAGGTTGTCTAAGGAATGGAGAGAAGAAGTTCGCAGTCTCAGAGATGAGAATCAGGAATTTAGATTCCAGGTATGATATAATCACATCTCACATAGAAGTCAAATATTGGATCAACAGGGTTGGCTGAAATAAAGAAAGCCACTCAAAATTGTCCTACTTCCATGCTTTTGAATGAATTGACTTAAAAATGTAATTGAATGTTGCCTAATATATTTTCCAAGAGCATTTAACATTTCATGCATCTGGTTACCCATTCTTAAATTATGATAGATTTTGTTGAAATTATCAAAATTCTGTGTGAACAGGCTTGCGACTGCCATTACAAGGTACAAATCCACATTTGCATGGAAATGCTTAAAAATTCATGCACATGCATGAAATTTCCAGAAAAGTACACATGTAACAAAACACACACATGTAACAAAAGGCAATTGCAAATTTTTTATTTGAAGATGCAGTTATTCAGATCATGGGAGTTACATAAGACACCCTTCCGAAAGTGATGGATAACCTGTTGCTGAATATAAGAAAATGTAGAGAACAGAGGGAAGGTCATATTGAGCTTATGGTTTAAGCATTAAAACTTGAGGATTGTTCAAATATTTCACTGTAAAGAGTTCTTTCATATATGTCACTGGTGTCGAGTTAGGATCTTTTGTTTTATTTACCTTTATTATGGCCCACCCTGTATTTTGTTTGTTGCCCTTAGCCTAGATGGATGAATGAAGCTGATGAAAATCAAATTGAACTTTTTATGGCAATTTCCATGAAAACAAATAACTGTGGCTTCTCTAGTCATAACTCTTTGATGACCTGACAGCTACTGTCCTGCTTCCCTTTCACCTACAGCCACTCATGGAGGACCTCATTTGTCATTTTTAGAAATGCCATGTACTGTGAGGGATTATCAGGAAAACTGTTTCTCATTGTGCAAGGCCAGGTACAGAAACCTCATCATAGAGCTCTCTCAAAAATGATAATGGTTAGCAAAAGTATAGTATAGCAAAAGAAACCTAAAAAGTAAAAAGTAGCAAGTGAAAGCTTTCTTCCAAGGAAGGTATTTGGCAGCCACCATGTCTTGACTCAACCCTCAGCAGTTTGATTTAGTTTAACTTGGGAGGAAAAGCAATGAAAACCTGTAAACTGGTGCTAGTTCCATCATAGGGAATGTGCAACCACCATTGGTGCTGCAGTGGCTGTACTCCTGACCTGTATTCATGGTGGAAATTTTGAGTAAAGTTCAAGTTAAATTAAATCAGGTTTGGGGTTGGGTCAGGACTTGTTGGGGTAAATGTCCTTAATTGCAAAGACCTATGCAAGAGTCATCTGAACATTTTTGCAATATGGTCATGTTACTTGCTGGTAGTCAGATGCATGTTTCTCAAATTTCCACTTTTTTTTTTCTATTCACTGAGTCCAAGCCAGACATGGCTGATAGCATATACAAAGTATATTACTTAGGTACACATATTTCAATGATAAGACTGACTGAATTGAATAAATAGCTACCAGTGGCATGTTCAGAGGGACTTCAGCAGTGATAACACTTGAAATCTTCAGAACAACCCTTTTCACTAAAGACCATAGCACCAGACTAGAAACAGATATTGTTGCAAGTCTGACAAAAGAGCAAATAGGCACTCCTGAAAATTTTCAGGTGGGCAATAAGTTTTTATTTTCTTGGCAAAATAATGATTACTGAAAAGTAATCTCTGCAGCACCAGGGAGCTCAAATTCTCAACTGTCTGATGCAAAGGTAGATATTTCTCAATATTAATTCTTATATTTGAAAGTTGGCCTTTTCTTGTTATGAAAAGTTTAAAATTGCATATTTGCCTTGTCAGACTTGTGATGATAATTTGAACAGTTATGACAGTTTTGTGACCTGGACCTGCCTGATGCAGACCACTAGATGGTTTCCATATAATAAATATTTTATTTTTACTACCCTTTTCCCTTTATTATAAAATGTCCAGGGTTGAGATTGTAAGATAATCCTTCATGTGGCATATGGTACAGTTGTCAGTTGAAGGTTTTGATGAAAAATGTTTGTGTGTTGTGCTAATGCATGTGTGATGCAGTCCTATGTCCATCTCCTGTAGCTAGAAGAGAAGGTGATTGAGCTGGAGGGAACCAAGGCCCGATTGAGAATGATGGAGAGAGCTTTGGGAAGAGGATTAAAGCCAACAACATCCATTCCTGGTGATGTCACCTTGCCCCGACCCCTCAGACGTATTGACCACCTGTCTTATCTAAGGAGTGACCTTGATCAAGGCAGGAAAGATGATGAGGGTCCTCAAGAAGAGGGCAGCCCAGCAAAAATTACATTTCGAGTAGGAGGGGAAGATGAAGAGGATGTCAGAACCCAGGAAAATTCTCTTCCTGTAAAACTAGTTCGCATTGTTCCGGAAGCTGAGGAAGGGAGGGAGAAGGAGTCATCAAGCACTGAGTCTTCAGGAGTTCCCCATAAGAATGTGTTCTTGCTGGCAAGAAACAATATGAATTCAGGTGATGAGGAAGAGGACCAAGTACCATCAGTGCCTCCTCCATTCCCCCTTGACTTCCTGCCTGTGATTCCCCCAATCAAGCCTGATCTGGTCCAAAGCCAGACAGAAAACTTCTACTTTGCCAAAGAATCTCCTCTCTTGAATGGGTCTGCTTTGAAGATGGTGCAGTCTGCACGTGGAGGGGTCAAACCTGACCTCAATGGCTCCAATAACAACAGGGATTTGCTCTCAAACAATAACAGAGAGAAGGAGTTGGTGGTGCAGAAGAATTCCAGGAATGCTGAGTTGTCAGATGAAGTGAGACGATATTCCCTGGCACAGCAACCAAATCTTTCAGATGGAGGTGAACAGAAAGCAGAAGCAGGGAAAATTCGACGGATGTCTTTCTGGAAGTGGTGGAAGTCTTGATGCCACTTTCCCCATGGATGCAAGGTATGCCCTCCTTATCCTCCTGCCTTTGATGATGATGATGATGATGATGATGATTCAGAGTTCATGCTACCATTAGACATGGTCCAGTAATTTCTTATGCCAACAACAATTAAACTCTCTCCTCTGGCCAGAGAACCATTTAATTTGCTGAGGAAGGCATTATGTCCTCAGAATTGTACAATACAGTCTTGAAAAAATTTTCTCAACTTTTGCTGACCAAGCATAATTTCCCCTTACCCTATTATCTGCATACAACCAAAAATGAAGCTTCTGCATGTATGGGCTTAGCTTAACCCTTTCAGACCTGAATTAAGGGTTTCAGACCTGAATATATCAATATTATATTCCTTTTTGCATTTTTGAGCTCTTTCATGATTGTAATTGAAATTTTCATGTTTTATATGCAGTATTTATATTTTTTATAAATTTACCATATCATACCATATATTATATATTATACATTTAATTAAATAACTGAAGATTACAAAACTAATGGGTGAAAGAAGGTCTCTAATGGAACTGGGCCATGCATAATTGCACCCCTCGTAGCGTAATATGGAGCGCTAAGTCACGAGAATCCTAAGAAATTGCCATAGACACAATGTAAATTTAATGTCCATTGGAATGAATGCCAGGTCTGAAAGGGTTAAGATGCATCAAGAGTATTCCAATGAGTGATTCAGAGGGGCAAAAATATTAATGCAAGAGGGGATAAATCATGGTAGAAGCATATCATCCCAAACAGTCATCCTTTGTCTTTGCTGTATCTGGCATCTAATGAGGTGAACATTGTAGCACCTCTCTCAGAGTCTCACCAGACTAAATTCCAGGGCATGGCATGGCATAGTCTTGTGGGAATGTGATTGTGAAAAAGAATACCAGGAGTGTTTCTACTGTATGCTATAAATGTCTGAAAGGAAGTGAGGATTTGTTCCATCGTGGGAACCCCTGTAATAATGATGATCCCGATGATGGGAGTTGCATGTGCCTCCAGGCCCTGGAGCTATATGTCTCATTTCCATTCCTTGGTCCTGCCTGGGAGTTTCAACTGTAAGGAAATTAATCCCTCAAAGGAAGAGTTACTTGGTGCTCTGAAAATAAATTTTATTTTTCAGTGATGGGTGAAACCATCCTGGCATTCATTTTATAGGGAATTCTTGTATGGGACTGTGATAATTGCCTGTCAATCATTCATTACATTGGTGAGGTACTTGATTTCCATAAATGTGGCTTTTGTTGCCTGGGCAACTCGTGTATTCTCATCTTTACCCTCTCAAATGACATCTCGAGTGTCATCACAGCCTTGCAACATCTCCAAAAATTATGACATCCCACCACTGCAGGGTTCATGGTGAAACTTTTAATGAACTCTGTTTTTCCATTTTTCATAATTTAAAATATTATCCTGGTTGAATGGAAGAAGTAAATGGTCTCTGGCTTAAAAAAAAAAAATATTTTTCACGCAATATGACACATGTTCAACTTTCACAAAACATTTCTAAAGACAAAAGTCATTGTTAATTACAGTCAATCTATTTATTTAGTCAACTCCTCCAAGAACAGTTAATAAGTATTTGAGACTATTCTCTATGTGCTTATGATATTCTCAGTGCTCATCAATGGTTAGAAGTATTGTAAGCTGAGAGAAGAAGAATCATGTTTCTTCTGTTACAGTCCCTTTGGAATTACATGATTGGATGAGTGGAGTGGAGTGAGGCATAACATGCTTGCTTTTTAGGTTCATCGTTTTTGGATATGTGTTGCACATAACTGTTCAAGTGTTAAATGTATCTTCTGCTATCTGCAATGCCTTGAAAAAGTCAATGGACATTACAGGAGTTCATTATGATCTGTGTGAATAGTCTTGACAAGCACACGGGGTTTTTATGGTTCATTCAGATTTTTAAATGAAAGGACTATTGAGGTGATTGATGCCCATGTCTCACATGTGATTAGATTTGATGACCTAGCTTGTACTTCCCCGAGTGTCCATTCAAACAGTTCCATGCATTCTCTTTGTTGACAGGTGTTGAAGGAGCAAGAGATGAGAGATATGAAGTTGTTCATGATGAAAGTGTACCTGTGATAGAGCCATGACCAAAGCCGCCTTCACAGTCACCATTCTTCCTCCTCCTTCTATTTCCCTTTTATCTTGAACTTCACCATCAACATATCTTCACCTTCCCTTCTCACATCTTTTTTGTTTGGACATTTTGATTTCTTCTCTTATCCTGAGTCTTTTGAGTTACTCGTGCTGTACAGGAGATGAAGGTAATAATGGCCTTTCTGGAATAAATAAAAAGGACTTTCCAAGAGTGTTGAGTTCATTCATGGGGGAGACTAGAGTATGAAGGGACTATTTTTCGGAATTCTCCACACAAAAAAATTATAGCGGGAAATTTTTTGAGAACCGATGTATTCCCTCCTTCAGCAGATATTCACGGCTATAAAAAAAAAATCCTGGCTATTATTCAAAGTGATCGTTTTATACTGAACTTTGAATTTTCATATTCAGCCCGAGAAGTGGCCCACCATGCCTCTCCGTCTGGGTACAGTGGGAAAGTCCATGATTTCAATAAATAACGCGCCAAAAAAAAGTGTACTTGTCACTATTGGAATGAAATATCTTTGGCTATTCTAACTTCATGGGCAAAATCATTAAATTCAAAGGGAATGGCTCATGGTCTTACAGTATAATGTTCCCATATTTCAGGTTATTTTGCAATAATTTCAAAATGGCCTGAAGTTCTTGTTAACATTTTTAACGATCAGCGTGGGTTACATGGCCTTGTAACAGCACGGTCAGGGTATGTCTCAAATACCATGACCAACTGCATCCCGAAACAAACGTTTTGGAAGTTTTTTTTTTTTGACATTCATTTGGTGAATCCGATAAAAAAAAAATAATAATTAATAATTATGACCTAAGCATTGCCCTTGAAATTATTTATCCGAATTATGCAACACATTTGGTCATTTATACCATCACACAAAATACTGAGTGAAGCATAAAAACGTGCCTCTTTCCTTATACGCAATAGGTTATCTGTCCGTGTGTCATTCTGGAAACTTGTAGACGGATGAACGGATTTTCATGATCAAAGTGTCAATCGAAAGCTTATGACCTGGAGGTGATACCTATCGGGTTGAAAGTTAAAAAAGTATTACGATTTTGACGTAATTGGGCCAAATTTCGGCAATAAGAATAGATCGTACCGAATGCCTTCCAGGGCGAAGTTCTCACAACCAACAATGAGAATACAGGACACCGTCTGTTACGAACGTTTTTGCTATGGCAACTGCCATATGATCTTTTGAGTTTTGTCTCGTCATCAGTCCCGTCACCAGTTCACCACAGTGTTTCGCGTGAATCCGCAGCCATCGGTTCGTACTCGATATGACTTGAATTTTGATGTTGCCATAATTGATGCTCAAGATGTTACGAAAAATGTGGAGAGGAAGGGAAAGTTTAAATTATTCTGCAACGCGATCCTCTGTGGGGTCAACCAATGAAAGAGCAGAACGGCAGACACGAAATTCTGCTTCACGGGCTGCTTCCATGACCTATGAAACTAAGAGAGAGCAGAAAGGCGTACACAAAATGCTTTCATTGGATTTATTTCATCCCATGCTTGTACGAGCTTTTACAATTAAGACAATAAGACGGCAGATACGAAGATAGCAATACGAAGTTTTTTTTTTAATTACTTCTATATACAGGCATAATCAATATTTAAAAAAGGCATGGTTAGCTTCATCAAGAACTTTAAGGCATGAATTTTCATTTAGGCGCAGGGTATCTCTTGTCATTAGTGACAGACATATCGTTTATCAAAACTCAAAAATTGTTCATTATTCCGTCAACCTTGACAACCAGGATGCTCGCGTTCACGGAGTAGGAGTCACTGGACTATCAGTAGAAGCTACTTCCACCTTTGATGATGACTGCCTGACATATGCAACGCTCTGAATCTACGGGAATGTTTTTCCACTCTTTTTGAATTGCTTTGGATGAGCTGGTTCTGGATCTGTGGCTGTGATTGGCGCCTGCAAACTCTACCGTCAAGGTCATCCTCAGAGGTGTTCGATGGGATTTAAATCGAGTGATCCTGCCGACCGATCGAGAACGTCGATGTTGCTGTTCGTCATAAAATTCACAGAGACATGAACAGTATGAGTTTTGGCGTTATCCTGATGGAAAATACTGCCGTGAGTGTCGATGAAAGGCTGTGACCTGTTTCACAGAAGATTTACGAGCTACAAGGTACAAGTATTTACAAGGGTCGTGTCTTGGTCGTGTGAAGGGTTAGCGGGACCCGCTGGAAGAGTTAAACAAGAACACAAGACCCTTGCAAGTACTTGTAGCTTGCAACCTGTAAATCTTGTTGGGAACAGACCCCTGAACGTGAGATATCAGATCTCATTCCGGTAGCGTTATCCCGTGAGGTTGCCAGCCGTAAAAACGAGCTCCGTTCGGACGTCGTAAGAGATTTCTGCCCGCATCATTACACTGCCTTCACCAAATATGTTCGTTTCCTTTTAGCAGTTGGTCGCGTAACGCGACCGTTCTCCGATGCATTCGAGGCCATACCCTGTGTCTGTGAAATCACCGTATGACAACGATACTTTTCCTCGCGCAAAATTAAAAATTCGAGTCGCTCTTGTAAAACCGTTCGCGTGATGAAACGGTTCGATAGAAACGGGCAAGAATTTCAGGAGGCTTAGAGGATAGAAGAAATTACCAGATACCAAAGAAAACTCACTCTAGTTATCTCCCGCTTCATGAACGCCACGAAATTGCCGAGAGGGACACGCCTTGTTTTGCCTCACCTGGTACTTTGTCGAAGCAAGGAAATTCAATATCGCTGTTTTCACTCGGGCTGCACGACTCCAACCGGATCCCGTGCAGATGCAAGGTGCGGATATTGCGACTCTGCCGGTAGATTTACGTAGCTCCGTATCGTTTAAGGCAATAAAAAAAATTCCAGCGTTCCAATTGCATCTCGGTCTCCCTATCCTCTGAGAAGGTAAGGGCGATGGGGGAGAATCTGTTGTCCTCGGAAGGACCTCCTCACGATTCCCGTGGATATAACTGAGAGAAACGGGAAAAACGAGAGGGAGGACGCGATTCGTCTCGTGTGTCGTGCTCGCATGCCTCGGCGTTTCGTTTCCTCGAAATGCGAGTATTCCATGCAAGTGCACTCATCTCGTTCGAGGTATCCATACCGCTAACGGTATTTCGTCGGAAGAAAAACAAAGAATGCGATGCGATGGTGGCGATGGCTTCTCGTCTTCCTACCTACGGGGGAAGAGTACGTGTACGTCGACCGGATTGCGCATCGGATGATTCCCGGGCGAGTGTCCGTATGAATACAGGCCCCTACTGCCGAGTTCTCTTCCTTAGCGTGCAATCGGAAGATGAAATTCTCACAACTCTTCGACGATGCCCGCACGAATCCGACAGTCGTCGAGTTCACGTACGAGCAGAAAAACCGCATTCCTCCACGATTCCGCAGCGATAAAATCCTTTATTGTTGGATGAAATCTCACCTCGATTCTTTACAAGGCTACTTCAAAGTGTTTCGGCACAGCCGACTCGTCTCTTCTTCGCCGAAAAATGAAACGGTGACGTTTCGCTTCCTCCTGGGGACGACCGGGTTACCTGATGCGCCTCGAAAATACGAATATTTTTCCACCTAAAAGTCTTACCCTCCACCTCCAGGAGGAAGCGGTGAAATTTGGAAATCCCGAAAGATGGGCGAAGTACGGACCGAGTATCGTCTGGCACTTCTCATCGTGATCTCAAGAATAGGTACTGATCTACAGCACAAGCTCCAAGAATTCACTCTCTAATGAACTAACAGGACCGAAGGGGTAGCCGTACCGAAATGCCACCGTCAGGGTTACCCGATGCTGCCGATTTCTCTCATCGTTTCCCGCATTTCTGCACGACACCCCCGTCCTCGACTCTGATCGACTCATTGGACTATTCTAAACGAAAGAAAGGTCAAGACAAAAGAGTCAAAGGTCACGAGGAGTAAGGGAGAAAGAAAGACAGAAAGCCAAGGGATCCGACATCGTGACGTGCTCAGTCGTCGTCCAAATTCTTCATCTCCTGGAGCACCGGTCTCAGCTTCACCGCATCTGCAAGAAGAACACGTTTTATTGCCGATTCGCAGAGACCTTAACCCTTTCCCGACCTTTTTCCTCATCTCCGAAACTTGTCGATTGCGCGAAAAGCAGGAGCAGGGAAGAATGCGTCGGGATGAGTTGGGAAAAGAAGGGGAAGAAAGGGGAAAGAAGGGGAAAGAAGGGGAAGGTGAAGGGACATACCGGTCCGGAGCGACTTTCGTCCCATTCCGCCAATTCCTTCCTTACTAGCTTCTCCATCTGCTGTCGTTTTGCTTTTTCATCGACTGAAACATCGAAAAATTTACTCGTAGAGTGTACACCCTTCTGCATTCTCCGTAGCATCGTCTAGATCAGCGATCCGCGGCCCGCGCTGACCTTTTTTTGCGGCCCTTCGGATGCCTCCGGTCTCTTAAAAATCAATATTTATGTGTGGCCCATTTCGGTCGATTTGGCCCCATATGGAGAAAAGGTTGTGCACTACCGGTCGAGATCTTCAAAAGCTGTGACTCGTGGGCAGTTTCCTCGGCGCAACGGCAGGACGAGAAAGCGAGACTATCGAATCGAGCACGTACTACGTTCCCTTGAGGAACCAAAGCGACGTCACGACGCCGATTCGAATCGCGATCGCGTCGTCCTGCTTCGGGTGACGCGGATCTGGGTTCCGCGGTAGAGTCCTTTCACCGATCGCTTCCTTCGTCTTATTTCATTCCGTTTCTTTCATCGTTTAGGAGCAGGCCGCGGCCCAGGTGCGAAGAGAGATTCTCATTTCCTCATTCCTTCGGCAGATTTAGCAGCGAAAGGCATTTTGCTTCGTCTATGAGGTGGGGAGAAATGAGATTTATGCGATCAAGATGTCGAAATGACGTGTTCGGCCCAACGGCATTACGTCTTAATTGGTCCGGGAGTGTAAAATCGCTACCAAGCATGGAAGAGCGAAACCGGAGAGGATTGGGGGGGAAGAGGAGGGGTGGGGGGGTAGGATGTTCCGGCACGATCATGGAAAACAAAGGCATGTTGGAAGGAGAAACAAAACTTAATTAATTACCGCCGGAGTCTTCGGTGATGGAGTCGAGGATTTTGTTCATGGTCTGCTTCCGCTTCTGCTTTGCTCTCTCCATTCCATCCAATTTGAGCAGCACTGCGTCGATCTTCGGTACGATAGTCCCCATGGTGCTCTCCATTCGCTCCACGCGACGTTGCAACCTGATTTGTTTCCCACAGAGAAAGTATTCTCAGGAAACTCTTTCCGTGAAGGGACGTCCTCGATTTTTTTGCATTTCTTTTTATTTTATTCCTCCCATTTTAATGGAGAGATTCGAACAATTTTCCCTAACGTGCTGTGAATATCGGTCATTTTTGTCAATCAGAAGCATGCGTTCGAGGGTGAGGCCAAGAGGGAACAGACTGAGAGAATTCCTCGAAGGAGACGGCTCCAAGTCCGGACATGGAGGCCATGGAGGCTCGTCGATCCGTTCCCTTCGTCTGTTGGTCCAGTTCCATCTTTTTCCCTTCCAGGTCCGACATCATTCGGCGCTTCTCATCCTCGTCCAGGGTTCGATCGCCGTCCATGTCGTACTTGGCGAAGAACATCTCGATCTCCAGATCCGAAAAATTGCACCTGACGGACGCAAAAATTCTCATATGTTTTCGAGATATTTTTCGAACTGCAGTTCGAAACCAATTTTTGGCACCGTGCAACCAATTTTTGGTACGGTCATCCGTTCGAATGGATTTGGCATGCAGTAGGTCGGCTCTATACGCTCGAGAAACCGGACTCGATGAGCACGCCTCATCGACGCGGGGTCAGTTCCAATATTCTGCTTTTAGTTACGGCTGCGGACGCTCGGATCACGGTTCAGAGAAATAAGAAGCAACCACGAACGAGAAGGGGTTTTCGAGACTGCCGGGACGATTATTCGTGCATAGACACGATAACGCACGTTGTTCTGGTTCCCCCTTTCCTTGGAACGAGGGATCCAAGTAGAGAAATGGTCCGTCTTCGTTCGGAGCGGACCGTGACCTTCATCCCATGGAACTTCACGGGCGGTTTCGAATCCGTCACTTTCGCTTGAAAATCACTTTCGCGTGGTCAGCCCATCCTTGGGTTAGATCGAGCTGTACTTCGTTTGTAGAGAAAGAAAAGCCGTTTCTAGACGGTATCAGAGTCCGCCTCGTCTCCACACTGGAGAAAAGAAGGGGAAGGATATCCCTGGGAAGGGCGCATCGCGAAAGCATTCGTTTCCCGCCTTGAGGAATCCCTAGCTCGCTCGCCCGGTACGATAAATGCAGAGGTCGGAGAATCCATCCCTCCCTAAGAGATTCCTCTCCCGTCGACTCCATCGTTCGGTGAAAGCAGTTCGAAAACCCGTTCCGCCGTCGTTGCCGACGGCAGGCGCGCAGCGAGGCGTGGGAACGGAAAAGAGGCGTTCCCTCGAGGACGAGAAAGATTCCTTCTCACTTGCGAAGGTTGTTGCGGATCTCGCCGAAGGTGAGGGCGCCGTCGTGGTTCGAATCCGACAGCTTCAGCGCGTTCTGGATGTCGATCAGCTTGTCCCTTCGACCGAGTTTCCCCATCAGGTTGTTGTATCCCCGCTTGAAATAGTCGGCGATCTCGAACTCGTTCTTCTGCTTCGCGATCTCCGCCTTCACTTCCGAGTACGTGTCGTTGATGATGGCCAGGAACATGTTCTGGAGGAGACGGGTGGGTCGACTCTCTCTCCCTTCGACGTGTGGAATTCGCGCCCGAGACGAGATCGAACCGAAAACTCACGAGGAGGACGAAGAAGACGAAGAAGACGTAAGAGAGGAAGAAGATGGGCCCAAGGACTCGATTCGCTTCCTCGATCTCGTGGAAATTGAAGTCGCCCAAGATGGTGCGAAGCAAGGTGAAAACGGAATCTCCGAAGGTGCTGAAGTCCTCCACCTGCAACGAGGGGAAAACGTCCGAGTGCGGCGGAACGTCGAACTCGTGTTTCCTCGACTCCCAAAGGGGAAAGAAGAAGCCCGATCCACGGCACGAGCATCCCGACCGTCCGAAAACCATTTGCTTTCTTCGAGTACGGTATTCGACGACCAGATATCGTAGAATTCTCAACGAAACGACGAGGAATGCACCCGTGAAGCCCACATCAGGTGTCAAAAATAAAAAATCGAGTCCGATGTCGTCCGTTTTCCGTTAGTTCTATCGAGGGCTTCATCGACTCGCGTCGCATGTGGTTACACGGACCGACTACTTTTGGGCCACCCTGTGTTCTATTCTCCACTCGTTCCCTTCAGTACGTAAGTGGATTCCTCTGGCCCCCGGGAAACGAGCTGGCAAACACGAAGAAAATCTCTTCCATGAATTTCTCTGCCCCGGAGACACGAGCAGACGAATAAGAGGAATAGTAATCCTGAAGATGAAAGAGTGATGAAACGTTTTTATCCCAACGAGTTGCTGCGATGTAGCCGCAACTGCATCGTCTCCCGGCGCAAGGGATATGAAATCCGGAAAACGTATGGCATCGGGAAAGAGTGAAATGTAACCCGACGAGATGAAAGATGGAAAAATGAATCGTTCTAGGGTCTGCGGCCCCGAAAGCACCCGTGTTTCCCCTTTTCCTTTTCCCGAAAATGTCATCTTTTTCGCAGCGATCGGGAATCGGATCGGCTCGGTGCTTTACGGATACCCATCGATCCCATTATGAAAATGATATTCCCTTTTGGGAGTCGAATTTGAATATCAAAGGAATTAATACGAGCGCTCTCTAGTCGCGGGAGGCGAGGAGTACATGTGGCAACATGCGGTTGACGCGAGATGGAAATGCAGACGAGCGAGGTCTTCATGAGGTCTTCACGAGGTCTTCATCAGGTCTTCACTCTCTTTGCTCTTCGATCCCTCGGGTCTTCTCGAGAGATTCTCACGCCTGCAAGTCTCGTCTCTTGGCGTCTGGGGACCCCCCCCCGTTTCCCCACCGTTCCTACGGTTTTTCGTGTCGATCGAGTCGGGACTTTCGATCGCCTGGAATATTTTTTTTACTTCTCGAACGAACTAAACGGTTTTGGAACGGAACGGTGACCGACGGCAACGACCGCCGGTCCGTATCTACGCCGACCGTCCAGAGAGAAAGGTGTCACCGAGGCGAGGTGCTCTTTCCGATTTTGCCACTTAGCTATCCGTCGACCTGCAAAGCGTATGCCCTCATGCCCTCCTGGGTGCACGTGCAGGTGTAGATGCCCTTAAAGACTCGTTTTTGGTCTCAGACCAATGCCTCTTTTGTTCAGATAATGTATTTCTCGATACCGTTATTAAGGAGCTGAGTATTTGGACCCCGCTCGTCTCTCTCTCCCCCCCCCCCCCCCCCCCCCCCCGATACCCCCAAATCCAGCACATGGACTCGGGCTTTCTCAAAACGATTGCATTTCCACTCGGATCGGGTGCCGTTCGAAATCCGTTCACGAAGTGGGCGTGAGAGTTCCTCGACTCGGGAACGGCGGTTTCCCACGACCATCGCACCGAGGGTTCATTCGCGAGGGACGCTTCCGCCCCGACGAAAAACGGACGGTAGGGGGAAAAAACGAGGCGTCGACTCACCTGAGTCCCAAAGAGGAGATAGCCCAGTTGAGCGAAGGCGAAGAAAACGATGAAGAACATGATGGCAAATCCGGCCACGTCCTTGGCGCACTGCAATCGCAAATATTTTCATCACGTAAGCACGTAAGACGACGCATGAAATAATGAACCACACGCTTATGTACCACTTCTCCTTCCCCCCCCCCCCACGAGTTTACGACAGGGGATGCAATCCTCAAGGGCATCGAGAAGGTTTCATCGGCGACTGTACGAGACGATAAGCTTTTAGACACGAATCTCTCTTCCTTTCTTCGCGATGTGGAGCACCCGAAACATCGCTTCCTTCTATTTCTGGCGATCGACCGCGACGTTCCATAAATCCAAGGAGATGAAGCGTGCGATCGACGAAGAAGAGATCTCCCGAGTGGCCGACGGAAAGCCGAGTTCATAACGGGTTCGTTTCCGTGTTCGCGACATTGCGGCGCCGACACCCCTCGCGAGGCTGCAGTCGATCGGACGTTCGGCCGTCGCGAACGGAAGCTCGACGCAGCTCTTTCCCGACTCTTTTATTTTTTTCGACGTCTCGGGGAGCATCTCGAACGTCTCGGCCGCTGCCCGTTGCCGGACGAAGCGACGACCGGTCGATCGGCGGCACCGGAAACGATCGTCGTTCGTGGCGTGGCTCTCGTCGACCGGTCGATCGGAGTGCGAAGTCGATCGACTTCGCACTCCGTTTCATCCGAAGGAAAACTTTTATTCGCGCTCCGATGTCGATTGCCGACCCGTTTCTCCCGAGAGCGCGCGCGATTCGTATACCGAATATGAACTTTTCCTTCCCGATCGTAAATTTACCCGAAACGAAAACGAGATCCTCGAAGAATCGGCGATGGGCCTAGCTCGAAAAAAGTATTGCAAAAATCAACGAGCGTCGGAAAAAAGGAAATTACATTACATTCATTCGAGATGAATTTCCCTCTGCGTCGATTCCGTGGCGATTTTGGAAAAAAAAATCACCATCCATCCATCGACGCAGATTGCACGAGCCCTCTCAACAGTTAGGAAAAGATTGGTATCGAAATGGTGTGAATCGTGATCGACTTGGTTTCGTGGCCTGCTGATACCACCGGCGGCTCGTGGACGAAGAATCGTCGGGAGCCCGGCTCGTCGTCTCCGCTGATGTCATTTTCGCTCGAGTCTGACTATTTTTCACCGACTCGGACACTCATGCATCGGATCTTCCCCATGAGGGAGTGTCCGAGTCGAGCGAAAAGTCGTCCGACTCGGGTGAAAAACATCGACGTTCGTCGTTCTATCGATAAGCTCGAAAATGATTGTGGTTTTTTTTTCGTCAGTTTTGTCGTTTGACGAGAGGCAGTCCTCGAAGTTGCCGACGACAAAAGAAGGCCGGTCGAGAAACCGCTCCCGATCGGTATCTTACCGAAGTAGCACAAAAGCAGAGCCGAAAGGGCCGAAGAGGGCCGTCCGTCTGACGACTTTCTCTCGAGGATTCGAGAACTTCACCGAAGCGGAATCGCGCCCGACTCGTTCGGCGGGTATCGTGACGACGAAAAATGCTTTTCGTGACCTTTCTATCGTCGGCAACTTCGTCGATGCGAACCGACGGCGAGAATTCGAACGCTCGATCGGTCCTACGTTTCGGGCGACGGACCCTCCAGGCCGGTGAGCCCGTTTAGGGCAGGGGCGAACTCCAGGGCTCGCTCGTGCGCGATGCAAACGGTGAGACCGGCCTCCCCACCGACGCATTCCGTTCTCGAGCATCGGGTGTGCAATGAGATACACCCACGCGTCGACGAGCCCGTCGGAGGCCTCCCGGCTCTCACCTCTCCGCGATTCCGGACAGGAATCGACCGTCGGAGACCGAGTTTCGCTCGTTTGCATCGATCGAGAACGGCTCCGATCGTTTAGAAATTTCCTACCGATATTTCAAACGCTCGATGGAGATTTCAAAGCGGCGAGGGGAAAGCGCGTGCAACGAATTTTTTAAGCCCGGCCTCCCTTTTTCTCTCGTTACGGTTAAGAGAAGAGGTTTCCTCGTCGAGACGAACGAGACCCGTTCCATCGAGTCGGCCTACCGAGTCCCGACCGGGTTCGCTCGCGCCCCTCGTCTCGCGGGAGTCGGAACGCGAAAGAGACGACGTACCCGCGACAGGGTGGACGACAGTTGAGTCATCGTCTTGTTGAAGGAGATGTACTTGAAGATCTTGATCCACGCGAAGAAGACGCAGACGGCGACGACGTCGTTGTATCGGGTCTGCCAGTATCCCAGGAACTCGAAGTTGGCGTATTGGTTCTGGTTCTTCAGGAGGCCCTCGATCAGCTCCTCCACTTTCAGGTATCGGTAGATGGAGAAGGCGATGCAACACAGGGAGATCTGCACGGACGGAGAGAGGATCGAGATGAGAGCGGACCCCGGGTTCGTTCCCCTCGGGAATCGTCGCGATCCGTGCCCACGCGGTGAGGAAACGAACTGGCGAAAGGGTGAGGAAAGAGAGAGGACGAGAGTGCGAGAAAGAGACGGGGATGCTGCGACGATACCCCGAGGACGAGGACGTCGATCCAAGCGAAGACGTCCCTCAGCAGCCCCCATCCGTGCAGGCGAAATCCCAACAGGAGTTGAGCGGAATACCAAAAGACGAAGCCGCACGCCATCAATTCCAGTGCGGTGAAGAAATAATCTCTCAAGTGCACGTGCTGAACGAGACGAAGGGAACGGAATCGCCAGCTCGTCTTCACGCCACCCGTCGGCAAGAATTCCCACACCAGCCTGGGAATTCCCCGCGAACTCTCAGACGTGCGAAAACGTGCGCTCGACACCGGTGCAAAAGAATGCATGCAAAATCCGATCGCCGAGAGACGTGCGCGTGCGAAAATGCCCTCACGATGATGACTGTGATATCCAGGACGTTCCAGACGGACGCGAAATACTTCCAACCGTTGTGATGGATCTCGATGATCTCCTCGATGATGTAATAGAAGATGTAGAAGCAAAAGATGAATTCGCAAGCCATGATGAAGTAATCGAACGGGGTGACGTAACGGAGGAGTTTCACGGTCCGGAAACTCCAAGACGTGATCATTCCTCCGGTGGCCGGGAACTCGAACACCAACCTGATTTTACATTTCGAACCAGCTTCTTTTTTTTTTCTCTTCTTCATGAATCATTCGGTCTCGCCGCACACCCTCATTTCCTTTACTTTCCATCGTGCATGCATCGTAGCTTGATGGATTTCGTATTCGTGTGGATTCTCATACTTCCCTTTTTTTGTTCCATCGTTCGGCTTATCTATGGAAATGTTCTCGCCGTTTCCCCCTCCCTTAACCCATTTGCTCGGATTTCTTCGTCGCGGATTTATTCTATTCTCGAGCTCATCGACCGTCGGGGTATCCTTTGGAAAAAAAATCTCGTGAATTACGAGTTATAACAACTCGACACTCTCACGAGTGCGTTTCTCGAAATCGATCGTGCGGGTATCTACCATTAAAAAAATTAATATTACGGTATCGCGAATCGATCGATGAAAACGAGATCCCCATTCGGGAACGATGGGACGCGATGGGTTCTGGGGTTTCCCCCACCGTACGAGGAGAGCGAAAGAACGAGACCGACTTGACGACGCAGAAGAGATTGACGTTGGCGTTGTAGACGGTGAAGTCGAGAAAGACGACGCGAGTCCCGCGTGCGATCCAGAGGTTCTGCTTCAGTTCCGTCATGATGAACAGCGTGTCCGCCTTGGTCGGCTTCAGGTCCTGCGCGAAGCCCGCTCCCGAATACGTGGCGATCTTCCCCCAGTAGTAGGTCCCGCCGAGTTCCGACTCCTTTCGGTACGTCCATCTGCGGAAGACGGGTCGCAACGCGTTGAGCGATCGGTCCCGACCCCGTACCGTTTCCCCGACGCCGCCGACGTTTCACCGGACGGAGTCGAAAACGCAGATCTTACGCCGTGTCCGTGTATTGAAGATTCTGGGGTACGGAACCGGTCTTGTCCTCGGCGTCGGTCGAGTACACGTCGTAGCATTTGGTGATGGCCCTCTGGAAGTTCTCGTGGACCGTGCAGGAATTGTCCCTCACCCGTAACTACAGGATGGGATTTACGAAAAGACTCTGGGCTCACGCGGATCGGTTCCGGGGTCCGAAGGGGGAGGTATCTTCCAGGGAAGGGTCATAGGGAGCAAAACACGAGCGAATCCCGTCCGTCAGTTCCGGAATCACTCTGCACGAGTCATTCCTCACTTTCACCTGAGATTCCGTGTTTTTTTTTAGGGGTCTCGAGGGGATCGGGTGGAGGGAAGGAGCGGGATCTCGACGCTACGGTTTTCGTTTAACGATCGAAAATCGTCTCACCTGTCTCAGGCGAGGGACTCCGAGTAATTTGTTCTCGTAGAGTATGTTCCGATCTTGCGAGGAGGTGGGTGTGGTCCCCTGGTTGTACCAGTACTCCCAGTACAGGGAGTCCAGCATCACGTAGTCCACGAACTGTCGCGGGAAGAAAAGTAGGAAATGAAAAAAGGGTGCCCCGGGGGGGTGAGACCCAGGGTGCCCCAGGGGGTAAGGCCCGAAGGACTCACCCTCCAGAAGTCGAGGAGTTGAGTGGAACCCCGGACGGTGTTTTTGGTGTCGTTGAAGGGTGCGTCCAGGAAGAGGCTCTGCATCACGTTCGTGTAGTAGTACATGGTGGAACTCGTCATCCCGAACGTCACTGCGAACGATTCCGTTTCCTTCTCGTCGTCGTTCGCGAACCCGGAGACCTTCGTTCCCGCGATCGAAATCCTCTCCGCTCCCAGGGGTCCGTCGACGATCCCCGCGAACGACGACGAGAACGGATCGAGATGCGAAGGCAGACGGCGAACCGAGGCCTTTATTTGCTTAAAAACTCGTTAGGTTCCCTTCCTCCGTTCCCATGCGAGCACGTCGAGGCTCATCATCATCGTGAGGTCTTTTCTCTCATCCATCAGGAGATCGATGTCTCCCGCGTCGCATCTAATGCTCTTTATGGAAAGAGCGCCTTTGTTCGCAGGAAGCGATTTTCACCCCATCGCGAGATTGAAAAGTTTCACGGCGGTTCGTCGTCGGTCCCGTCGCCAGGAGACGATCGACGGCTGCACCGACTGCCGTGACGCGATGGAAGCAGCGATCGATCGTTTTCCTCCGTCTCGGTCACATATCATCGCCTAGCAAATATCGACCTCGTGCAGAGGTACGTCTCCTAGACGACTTTTGTTTACGTGACGTTCGTCAGGATCGAGGCTCGTTTTCCTCCTTCCTTCTTTCCTCCCGCCCCCATAACACTCGCAACGATT